AACAGAGTGGGAGGTACAAAACAGAGTGGGCATCGTCAAGCTTTCCTGAGGCAAAACTATGAGCTTGTCCATAAGTAGTGCATGTACACCCTTTGACTGCGTGGAGCAGCCAGATGGCAGAAAAGTCAACTGATAAAGTCAAACATGTTTACAGAGTTTGAGAATGTGTGAACGGAGGCTGGTGTTGAGATGATATTACCATGCTGGCAGACCAGAAATGTCACACTGCTCAGGATTTTTTGGAGATTTTAAGCTGTATAAGTTCCTCTGTTTGAATCATGACTGATATTTTCTACAGGTACTCTCACTTTCTCCCATGTCGCATTCATCTGAGATTGATCAATTTTCTGAGTTGATTCTATATCGGACTTGTGACCTGTTCAAAGTACAGTATTCCTGCTTCTGGTCTGATGAAAGAACCTCTGCAGAAAAGAATAATCCATGGAATGTGGTGCAATAAAGTCTTTTTCCATTCTGCCTATGTTCACACTTAATTAAAACGTGTTTTTGCACTGAATTCAGAGTTTTTGTCTGCAAGCCCCAAAGCCCCAAAACTGGGAAGGATAAAAATATCAGCATCAACTGAAAAAATAAAACTGACCAAACAAATCTGTTTTTAATGTATCAGCAATAAGCTCTTAATTAATGTCATTATGACTTTCCTCACAAATCTCACAAACAAGATGGCATCAGCTTTCATTACTGCTGTCAGTCAAGTGGTTTTCAGTTGCTATGCTTACTAAGTTGTGCACACAAAAATAACCTGGGATGGCAAATCTTCCTCTTCTCATTTAATTTGCTTTCTGAATGGGATCCCGTAATTGATAGCTCAAGTTATTATAGCATCTGAACGTTCCACCGGAGCCAGAATTTTATTTCCCAGATTTTCAGCAGATGGCTTAATGGAGATCTTTCACTGTCACAGTTACAAAAACCTTTTTGGTGTTGTGCACTCAAATCATTGGCATAGTAGTCCCTCACCACATATTCATCAAAAGGAATCACAAATACCTGCTCCAGCCATCCAGCAATGGATAAATTCTTATTGCGCATCATTGAGTCAATATGCATGAATATCAAATGAATAGGCTTGGCTGCCGCCTGGTGTCACGCCACTGTACTACAGCACACTGAGCAAGAAAGGATTGGTTAAAATGAAACTGTGAACAAGCCAGAGGGGTAGAGTCTTAAAGAGAGTACTGGGAGAGTTAGCAGAGGGAGAGCAATAGAGGATAAACAGGCGGATAAAACAGTTAATGAGACATGAGTATATAATAGAACGTGCAGGATAAATCCAAGCATGCCACTGGGAAATAAAACGAGTGAAGGGAAAGAAAAGGCTCAGAGGAGGTTCATGAACACAATGAGGATGCATGAGACTGAAACAGAGCAAGATGGTAGACATACAAATTGGAAGGCACAAAGGAAAGGGCAAAGGCATGTGTATGATTGTGTGGAGAAGGAGATCAAAGTGCTACTTGTCTTTTCCAAAATGGGTCCTTTTTCTAAAATTCTCCCCCAGATTCCTTTGCGTACCCTTCTCCTCTTTGCATTTTGTCACCTGGCTGTGTTTATCACGGACTCATTAATTATTCTGATAATCTGAGAAAATCTTTCCTCTGTCATTTGCGAACTCGAGATCTGCATCGTCTCCTCCCGGCATGGCACTTAACCTTCTCCCCTGTCACGTGTCTCTAATTTCTCTCCATCTCTGGTATCTGCATCAGCCCCCGAACTCCCTTCACCCATTTGTTTATCCTTTCACCTCGCTCTCCCTTTAAAGCAAACAGATGCATGCTAAATCGCCCTCAGAACAGCATATCCATATATGGCACATTTAAACCCTACCGCACACCAAAGAACAGTCTACAAAATTCTCAGTACTTAAGCACCAGTGCTCCCTCGTCTTCTAAATAGGGAGGAATAAAAGCAGATGTGGGCTAACATACACAAATGAAAACCCCGAATAAAGCCCTACAGTGCAATTAAGGGTTTTTATTCCAAAGATCTCTGCTCATGAATATAAACATGTACCATCTTGTATCTTTCTTTTTCAATAAACAAGTGTTTGATATATATTCCTGTCTTTTAAGGGACTGCAGCTTCTCAAATGACACCCTTTAGCAGTACAGGCATAAAATTAAAGCATTTAACTGGCCTTCTTCTGAATAATGGTTCAGCACAGATAGCTCAGATAATAAGATTGCAATTCTCAATCCTGTAATTGCATGTGGCTCAGAAAGAAGCAAAAGCAAAGGAAGATTAAGTAGCTGATAAGCAATCTTATTTTGCAGTGGAACACGCTTCTTTTTCTGTTAGGATCATTCGGCATTGGCATTGCTGCTCTGATACAGGCATGTACTCTATTTAGTACTGGCAGATAAAATGAAACTGTAGTATTTTGAAATATGTAAGATTTTTTTGTATCCCTATCCTCCTTCTTCTTAAGCAAGATAAAAGGTACGAAGCAGTACATCTACGTAGTGTTTCAAACATCTGCCCGGAACATTGAGAAATCCCAATGCAACCGAGAAGCGGGCAGGTGCTATTCATGGAGTCTGAGAGATAATGAGGAGGAAACTTGAGGAGAGAATAATGTGAGAATGAATTGGCCCGGTGTTGTAGAGATTTGTGTGTTCTAGAGCAAGGGGCACACAAAGGGAAGTGGGGAAAGCTTTTTTCAAAATTCTGAACAAAGTATAAAAACTGATGCCCCAAAACACCTAAGGATATTGTATTTAGGTATCATTATGAATTATGTAAACATCAAATTATTTGTAACGCACCTGTGCAAATGTATGGACATACAGACAGACAGACAGACAGGCTGATAGATAGATAGATAGATAGATAGATAGATAGATAGATAGATAGAT